ATTAAAAACAGTAACACGTCTTTCTCAAGAGATTACAGCTAATTCAGAACTCATTATGTGTCAGCATGCTGTAGTGCAAGTTCCTTCCAATAAGCATCATTTTGAAATTTCTCTGCAATGTCTTCCAACCACTTACAATAGTTTTCTTCGATCCTTCTGGTGCTCTTAATCATTACTGACCTAGTTTTGACAGACCTAAATGTTCTGTATCTTGAGCACATTTTATTGCATCACTCTTTATCATCACTTCCAGGACAGAACATTGATTCCAGCACAGCTTGTTGGGGCACTTTGTTAATAACCCCTTTCTACATGGGGAACTAGTAATCTATTCCTTTTCTTTGTCTCCTAATTTGATTTTAATTCATGACAGGATTTTACCTCTCACACCTGGTTATCAAGTTTCCTGTATAATCTCTTGAGAGGGACTTAATCAAAATCTTGAAAGTCTAAATAAATTATATCCACATTTCTTCTTTATCCATTAGATTAACTTTAAATTAATTGTACCATCTTAGATACATGTAAATATACCAGCTATAATAAATGTTATGATTATTTGTCTCTATCCTAATTTTCTCATCTAGCTGCCTTAGAAATAGGGTTTTTTTCGTCCCAGTGCTGAGGAATTGCTTACAAGTCTATATGGGCACGTCTACACTGCAGGGAAAAAGTTGAATTAAGACACAACTTCAGCTACATCAATTGCATAGCTGAAGTTGAAATAGCTTAATTCAACTTTTGGCGCTGTCTACATGAGGGATGTTAAATATCGGTTAATTTTATAGTCGATTAACCTCATGAATTCTTACCAGTGAGTTGACTATTCTATAATCCTCGGGCAGCCCCTGTCCAGAGAAGAGGGATCTGAGCTCCTGGACCCAGCACGAGCTAACCTGGGCTGCTTGCCTGTCTGGCTCCTAATACACTTTAAATGCAGTCACAGTCGGGGTAGGTCCAGAATGGACTTCTGGCCAGCCTGCTAAAACATTTACTGATGATGGGGGGGAGGGGGGGGGGAAATGTGTGTAGTCTATAGCATTAACCTATAAGCTTTTGCTTATCGGTTTATTGACTATACTATTACATCCCTAGTCTACACAGCAGGATGTTGAAGGAAGAACATTCTTCCTTCAACTTTCCTTACTCCTCGTAAAATTAGGATTACAGGAGTCAGAGTAAGAAGTCCTCCATCTTGACATTACTTCAAAATAATGGCTTGCTGTATAGAAGCGCATAATGCCAGTTATTCTGAAATAACGCTACTGTGTAGACGTACCCCAAGAGTCCAACCTTTAACTTTGGCTCCTTTTTTCAAAGTGAGCACTATATTCATAGAATCATAGAATACCAGAATTGGAAGGGAACTCAAGAGGTCATCAAGTCCAGTGCCCTGGCCTCACAGCAGGAGAGCAGAGGCCTTCTTCTGAGTCTTCTGAATTACATAGTATAGGGCCTGCTCTAAAATCTGTTTCCACTGTTTCAACTGGGCTCTGGATCAGGACTGTAGTGAGAAGTTTAGTTACTTCATTTTTCAGTTCTCTGACGCCTGGTCAAACAATCCCATCAGTTTCCTATACTCCTCCTTTATGAGGAGGACTACCAGCACCGGTGGGGGCACCTTCTCAGTTCCAATTAGCGGGTCTTCATTAGACCTGCTATATCGAACCCCAGAAGATCAACCATGGCAGCATTGATCTTCCACGTAGCATAGACATGGTCTGAGAGTGCTCTCCCATAACCTGCCCACAGGGATGTAATGCAATTCAATTTCTCTAACATTTGCATTACCTCTTTAACACACACCTCTCACAGTGTCTCATCTTTGTTACCTGCAAAAAGTAATGTCTGTTGAAATATTGCCTCTCTCCCCCCACTACTGATTGGGGTGAAGATCAGGTCAAATAAATCATTTGGCTTTCCTTCTGTTTATATTTCCTCTTTGACTGTAAAGGAAAGTATTTGAAGAATTTCATCATTTTTAAAATTTAAAAAATGCATTTGTTCATTTTTTGCATTCTTTGAATATATATATATATATAAAGCAAAGCATTACAAATGTTTGCCATGGGATTTAGTACAGATGCACAATAGAACTGAGGAGTTTTAATGCCATCATTAAAGACTTTCCTGTTGGTAAGTTTCTTTATGCTCATGTGATAGTTTGGTTACTGTTTGGGCTTCAAAAGCTTTCCACTTTTTGTCCAGGAGATTGCAGAATGGCAAGGTCACTATATATACTGTCATGCCTGCAGGGATATGTGGCTGGATACATTCCAAGCTACCATTTGCCTGGTCAGTGATTGGTCTGGATTGGAGGAACTATGTTGACCTGGAAAAGGGCAAATATAGTGACTATCTATAAAAAGGGAAATAAGGACAAGCTAAGAAACTACTGACCAGTCAGCTAAATTTCAGTACCCAGAAAGCCAATGGAGCAAATCATGAAGGAATTCATTTGTAAACACCTAGAAGGTAATGTGCTATGTAACCATCATCATGGATTTGTCAAGAACAAGTCATGTCAGATCAACCTCATAGCTGTCTTTGACAGAGTAACAAGCCTGGTGGAAGGGGAAAGTGATAGATGTGATAGTATCTTGACTTTGCTAAAGGTTTTGACACTGTCTCAGTCTCACATGATCTTCTCATAAACTAGTGAAATACAACCTAGATGAAGCTACTATAAGGTGGGTATATAATTGGTTGGAAAACCATTCCCTGGTTGTCTCTAGACTACACCGCTCTGTTGACAGAGAGATGTAGACTAGACACGTCAAAATTGCTAATGAAGCAGGGATTTAAATATCTAAATATTAGCATAAACATGGCCACCGCTTTTTTCGAAATGGAGCTTTTTCAGAAAAAAACGGCAGTCTAGATGCGGATCTGTCGAAAATAAAGCCTTTTTTGAAAGATCCTGTAAACCTCATATTTTGAGGAATACATGATCTTTCAAAAAAGGATTTATTTTCAACAGATCCACATCTAGACTGCTGTTTTTTTTTTTTTTTTTTTGAAAAAAGCTCCGTTTTGAAAAAAAAAAAAGGTGGCCATGTTTATGCTAATGAAGCACAGGATATTTAAATCCCTGCTTCATTAGCAATTTCAGCGTGCCTACAGAGAGGTATAGTCTAGACGTACCCTCAGAGAGTAGTTATCAGTGGTTCACCGTCAAGCTGCAATGGCAGATCAAGTGGGTTCTGCAGGGATCTGTTCTGGGTCTAGTTCTGTTCAACACCTTTATCAAAGATTTAGATAACGGCATAGAGAGTACACGTCTAAAGACTGTGGATAATACCAAGCTGCAAGTGCTTTGGAGGATAGGATTAAAACTCAAAATGATCTGGATAAACTGTAGAAATGGTCTGAAGTAAATCAGATGAAATGCAATAAGTACAAATGCAAAGTACTCCACTTAGGAAGTTGTGCATGCACACACAATCAGAAATGACTATCTATACAACAGGATTATAAAAAGGGATCTGGGTATCATAATGGATCGCAACTACATATGAATCAACAATGTAACACTGTTACAAAAAAAACTAACATCATTCTCGGATGTATTACCAGGAGTGTTGTAAGCAAAACACAAAAAATAATTCTTCTGCTCTACTCCATGCTGATTAGGACTCAGCTGGAGTAGTGGGGCCAGTTTTGGGTGCCACATTTCAGGAAAGATGTGAACAAATTGTAGAATGTCCAGAGAAAAACAAAAATTATTAAATATCTAAATATCATGACCTAAGAGGGAAGACTGAAAAAATTGTTTTGTTTCATAGAGAGGACACGATAACAGTTTTCAAGTACATAAAAAGTTGTTACAAGGAAGAGGGACATGATGTTCTCTTTATGATGATAGGACAAGAAATAGTGGGCTTAAACTGCAGCAAAAGAGGTTAGATTGAACATTAGGGAAAACTTCCTAATCCTCAGGATCATTACGCTCTGGAATAAATTGCCCTGGGAAATTGTGGAATCTCTCTTATTAGAGACTTTTAAGAGACAAACTCCTGGCAGGAAGTCTAGGTAATATATAGTTCTACCATGAGTACAGGGGGACTAGATTAGAAGACCTCTCAAGGTCTCTTCAGTTCTATAATTCTATGATCCACATTGATGTCAAAGGGTGATTTCCCCCCCGTTAATTTGAGTGGGGTTTGAACCAGATTCTAAGGCAGGGGAAGGCAATAAGTGGCCCATGGGCCAGACATGGTTCACTAGGGTTAGCCCCTGGTGGGCTGCTGGCACGTTATCCACCTGCATATCTGCAGGTATGGCTGCTTGCACCTCCTGTTGGCCATAGATCACTGTGTGTGGTCAATGAGAGGTGCAGAAAGTGGTGCAGACCAGGACTCTGCTTCCTGCAGCTCCCATTGGCTGGGAACAGCAATCCACAGCCAGCAGGAGATGCAAGCAGCCATATCTGCAGACAAACAGGTAAATAAAGCACCAGTGGCCCACCAGGGGCTAATTCTGGCAAACCATGTCCAGCCTGCAGGCTGCTTATTGCCCAACTCTGTTTTAAGGCCCAGATCTTCAAAGATATTTAGGCTCATAACTACCACTGATATTAATAGCTTTGAGGAGCTGGGTCTACATAACTGCCTGGAATTATAAGGCTAGTATGAATAAAATGGGTGCTCTTTTTTCCTTTCTTGTTATCATACCTTGCCTTTGGCAACAATCTTTGCCTTGGGTAACTGAACTGTTCTGTACAGTCAGGGTTGAGGCACCAAGGAAGAGCTGTAAATTTTCCATCCCATAAGGTCTAGTGCCAGCTGTGTAATGCATCTGAACTCTTCTGAATCTCTTTAAAACTCAGCCCTGAAGCTAATGGCAGAGTTTCAGGGAAGTTTCTACTGGACACTAAGCAGAACTCTGTCCCACTAACTTCACTTTTCCACCAATGAAAAACTGACTGCAGCTCTGCAGAAATGTAGTGAGGTTTAGGCTGGACTGAAAGTATTTCCTGACAGAACACTCTATTCATTTACTTTAGCTGTGAGCAACCTTTCCACTCTCTTCTAAGTAGGTGCTTATGTTGTGCTCTCTGAGGGTGGAGTCCAAATGTGCAGGCTGTGGAAAGATGGATGATCTTTTGTTCAAGTGTCATGGTGTGCCTGGGGTGGCCCATGGATGCTGAGACTCTCAATAATACGACCCTGGTGTGGTTACATGGATCCGACTTACATTGGATCCCTAGTTACAAACGGGGTGAGGCAACCCCGCACTAGCTGCTTCCCCCCAGCAGACCAGGGAGACGCGAAGCTAGTGTCCCCCCCGCCCAGCAGACCAGGGAGAGGTGGAGCGGCTTTTCTCAGCAGACACCTCAGCTTGAGAATAAAGGGCTGAGGGAAGTGAGGTGTGGGAGAATAAAACTGAGCTCTGGAGAAATGTTTGGCTAGAGTTTCCCCTACAATATGTACCAGTTCCGACTTACATACAAATTCAACTTAAGAACAAACCTACAGTCCCTATCTTGTAAATAACCTGGGGACTGCCTGTATAAATGGCCTTTGTAGGAAAAGGGGGTAATGTAAGTTAGAAAGTGTAGCCTTTTATTTTAAAAAATGGTGAGCTGCTGTGGGTGGAAGAAGGAATGTCTAAGCAGGGGTGTAGCTACATTCCCATCACAGAAGTCATCAGCAGAGGCATGAATTCAACACACCCAGACAGCCAGTAAACGTCAAACCTAACCAACAAAAGTCAGGGAAACAGTGAGGACTGATCCAATGCAAATACCAGCCCAGTTACTACCTTCTCAGCTGTAGCGCTGCAGCAGTTCACTGTTTACTAGAAAGTATCAAAGACTTTTATGTGCACAAGCCTGGAACAAATATGCCAAGTGCACAACCTTCAGCCGCTTCCTTATAGGGACTGGCTATACACAGTGCAGTGCAGAACAGGGGAAGCAAGTATTCAATATCCTAGCAGTTCTCCAGGACCAAAGATAATGGAGCTACTATGAGGTGAGTGCATAACTGCTTGGCTATCTATTCCCAGAGAGTAGTAATCAATGGTTCACAGTCATACTGGAAGGATATAACAAGTGGGGTTGCTAAGGGATCAGTTCTGAGTCCTGTTCTGTTCAATATCTTCATCAATGATTTAGATAATGGCATAGAGACTACACTTACGAAGTCTGCAGATGATACCAAGCTAGAAGGGGTTGCAAGTGCTTTGGAAGATAGGGTCATAATTCAAAATAATCTGGACAAACTATAGAAATGGTTGGAGATAAATAAGATGAAATTCAATAAAAAACAAATATAAAGTACTCCACTGAGGAAGGAACAATCAGTTATATGCATACAGAATGGGTAATGACTCTCTAGGAAGGAGTACTGCAGAAAGAGATTTAGAGATCATAGTGGATCACAAATTAAATATGAGTCACCAGTGTAACCCTATTGCAAAAAAAGTAAACATCATTCTGGGATGAATTCATAGGAATGTTGTAAGCAAGATATGAGAAGTAATTTGTCTGTTCTACTCCATGCTGATTAGGCCTTATCAGGGCTGTTCCCCACTCTGGCACTTCGAGTGCAGCAGGTGGGGGCCAGCAAGAGACTTTAAAAATACCCTTACTCTAAAGGCTTCTGCTTAAAACTTCCCGAAACTTAAACAGATTCCCTGATATTGGATGGCTCGCTGCCACCATCCAAATGCAAAAACCCCTTTGAGAATGCAGAGGAGAGAAAAACGCAGTTGGGAATTTCTTTCTCTGTGGTACCCCAGAGCTCTTTAACCCTTCCTCAGGTCAGTGCTATAAAACAAACTGCAATTTCTTAATAGCTGACCTCCTGTTTCAGGTATGTGCATACAGAATCTTTTTTAAGACACAGGAATTAGATCATAGTCTTAAAAAGGTGATTATATTAACAAAACAAAGAAGATATATTTGGTAAAGTTTACTTGGTTGCTAAGTGTGATAGAGCAACTGAAGAAGGCAGTTTAAAAGCACAAAGAATTGCTTCTCTGGGATTCAGTTTAAAATTTACAGTCTACAGGGAAGGAGGTACATAAATCAATGTGAAGGAATTCAATCAAACCCAAAATTAAAGCAAATAACCTGATTGAGTCTGTCTAAACACTCCCTGTTCACTTACATATTGGTTGTTCCAAGGATTCAGTCCTTCTCATTGGTATGTATATTGCTGGAAAATCCATGCCTTGTTCCTGGTTAACTCATCTCTCCAAGCTCTTGTTCAGCTCACACAAAGACTGAAGCAGGCAGAACCCATTTCACTTTGAATCTCACACTCTCTTCCTATTGTCTCTCCTGGTTCCTTGCCAACAGTTCTTGGAGATTCTCTGGGACCCACTGTGTCTGGGTTTAACCCTTTACAGGCAATTTAGTTAATTGAATGGCTGGGATGTCAAGAAAAAGAGTAGTATTCCTCCTATCTATCAGAGGCCTCAGCTGGAATACTGTGTCCAGTTCTGGGTGCCTCATTTCAGGCAAGATGTGGAAAAATTGGAGAAGGTCCAGAGAAGAGCAACAAAAATAATTAATGTTCTAGAAAACACCACCTATGTGGGAAGATTGAAAGAACTGGGTTTTGTTTAGTGTAGAAAAGAGAAGACTGAGACAGGACATGATGATAATTTTCTCAAGTACCTAAAAGATTGTTAAAAAGAAGAGGAAGAAAAAATATTCTCTTTAACCTCTGATGAGAAGACAAGAAACAAGGAGCTTAAATTGCACCAAGGGAAGTTAAGGCTGGACATTAGGGAAAAAAACCTCCTAACTGTCAGGATAAGTTGTCTAGTATAGTTGTGGAATCTTCATCATTGGGGATTTTTAAGAGAGGGTTAGACAAACACCTGTCAGGAATGGTCTAGATCAGAGGCAAACAAGAAATAGCCCATGGGACATATCTGGCCTGCCAAGTTGCTGGATCTGACCCACAGGCAGCCCCACAGAAACCCTCAGAAACAAAGCAGCTAGATGTTTCAGAGCAGCCCCACACTACTTTAAGCAGCTGGTTGCTCCCTGTGGCTCTCTTCTCCAGGTGCTGGAGAGAGGGGGAGACTTCGTGAAAACTCGCCAGTGGGAGCTGAGAGATGTTGCTGGGAGTAGGGGCAGTGCACAAATCTGCCCCTCTTCCCCCAGTGCCCACAGCAGAGAGCCACAGGGAGCAACCAGACATTTTGAGCAGCCAGGCAGTGAGCCTGCCTCAGGGTCCTGCATGGCTGCTAGCTGGAAGCTACCTAGGTAAGTGCATCCTGGCCACAGCCCTCCCACCCCCACAACTTCCCCAGATCACCATCCAAACTCTCTGCGCTTCCAATCCCCTCCTCCCCAAGGTCACAACTGCCTCCTAGACCCCTGTCCAGACCAGAATCCTTTCTTGCATCTCCTCCTGGATCCTGCACTCCAAGGGTGTGTCTAGACTACATGGCTCCGTCGACGTAGTTTACTCAACACAGTCAATGAAGCAGGGATTTAAATAATCCCCGCTTCATTAAAATAAAAATGGCCACCTGTGCTGACAATCAGCTGATCCGGCACAGTGTGGCAGTCTAGACATGGCGCGGTTGACAAGGGAAGCCTTTGACGACCACTCCGGTAAACCTTCAGTTGACGGAGCCATATAGTCTAGACACACCCCAAGGGTGCAACTACACTGCACCCATATGTCAAAATAAAATACGCAATTCGAGCTACGCAAATTGTGTATCTTATTTTGATCTAATTTTGAAATAAACTACTATTCTGAAATGTCCCTTAACCCTCATGGAATGAGAGTTACAGGGACATCAGAATAGCAAGCCTGTTATTTTTTAAATCTACTTTGAAATAATGGGCTGGTTTAAAAGACGTGGAATAGCTATTTTGGGATACCTCCAGTAGCCTGAAATAGCACCACATACCCCAAGTCCCTGACCCAAATCACAACCCTCTCCTTCACTCAAACTCTCTCTCAGACCCCACACTCTCTCCTGCACACCTATCGCCTACCCTGAGCTCCCTTCTGCACCCAACCTCCATCCCAGACCCAGCACTCCCGCCATAGAAAAGTGCAACCCTTGACCACTTACCAAATCTTAGAGTGGCCCCATCAAAAATTATTGCCCACCTCTAGTATAGATGGTCCTGCCACGAGTGCAGGGGATTAGAATTAATGACCTCTCAATGTTCCATAGCAGGGCTCCAGGCTGAAAAAAGTCACAATGCACTGGACAATACAAAGGCATCATCAGACTGGCAAGCCAGGAGTAGATGCAAGACACATGAGCAGTTCTCAATCACACAAACATAACATACATTATAGACAACGACAGTATTATCCAAACGTTTGCAGTATTGCCAACACCATGAATAAAAAAATCACAACTTCAAAATCATGAGCTCCCTTAAAGAACAGGATTTCTTTGAGGCTTTGGGGCTTCAAGGTGCACTCAGTTCACACATTTTCAGGCTCTTCTCTTCAACCAGGAGGGTTAAAAACTCCTTTTGAAATGAAGGCTGAGATTTCCACAAACTCACTTGATTCAGGAGTTAGGATCTGAAGAAAAGTGTCACATTTTGTGATCTGCATGATAAAATCACAAGCGCTGGCCTCAGCAAGTTCTCCCTGGCACCAGTGAAGCCCAGGCACACCGTAATATTTCAACATTGCTTTCCTACCTGCTGCTGTTGCAGATACCCCCTTGGTTCTGTGTGATACCGTTCTCGTGGGTGTTCCGTAACAGGCGTGGCAGCTAGCCACACCCACTGATTCATGCTGCTAAAACACCACAGAAGCATTCCATTTCTAGTTTATATGCTCCAGAGTTTATATACTCCAGGGCTCTCAAGCTCCCGGGTCATGGGCCATCCCCAGCTGGAACAATTGCACAATCTGGCTCGGGACTCCTGGTGGGCTGGGAGATGGGGGAGAGCGCTTGTCCATTCCTGGCCCCCAAGCCTTGCCCCTTCCCACAATCATCCCACCCTCTTCCGCTATTGTATCCCATCCCTGTGGATAAAACTTCAGGGGGGGCCTTGTGCAGCATGGAGCACAGAGTGCAGCCTCGAGGATGGGGTGCTATGGACTGGAGAAGATGGGGTAATGGCAGGGCTGGGCGGGATTTGGGGCCAGTCATGGACATCCTGCCCCGTCCACCAGGAGTTCCATGCTGGACTGCACAATTGCTCTAGCCAGGGCTGGCCCATGGTCCAGAAACTTGACTCCCCTGCTCTGAAGCCTATAATCTTGATTATCTGCTCTCACATACTGGTATTAATCAGTAATAACTCCATTGGGATTACACTAGTTTAAGTGATAGGTGAAAAAAGAATCTGCATCTGACATTGCTTTTACATGTGAATTTCAGCATTCTTTAGCCCACTGCAAGTCAAGGGAAAAGTTTTCTGTTAAAAGCATTTGCGGAAAAGAGCGTCTAGATTGGCACAGACGCTATTCCGCAAAAGCACTTTTTGTGGAAAAGCGTCCGTGGCCAATCTAGACACGCTTTTGCACAAAAAAGCCCCGATCGCCATTTTCGCGATCGGGGCTTTTTTGCAAAAAACAAATCTGAGCTGTCTATACTGGCCCTTTTGCGCAAAAGCTTTTGCGCAAAAGGGCCAGTATAGACAGCTCAGATTTGTTTTTTGCAAAAAAGCCCCGATCGCGAAAATGGCGATCGGGGCTTTTTTGTGCAAAAGCGTGTCTAGATTGGCCACGGACGCTTTTCCCCAAAAAGTGATTTTGCGGAAAAGCGTCTGTGCCAATCTAGACGCTCTTTTCCGCAAATGCTTTTAACAGAAAACTTTTCCGTTAAAAGCATTTGCAGAAAATCATGCCAGTCTAGATGTAGCCTTGGTGTAACACTATTGATTTCATTGGGCCTACGTCAGGAATTATGATGTCCCAGGCAATCGGTAAAATGTCACAGGGGTACCTTTTGAAGGATTACATGGTTCAAACGCTAAAGTTCCTTCCCCCCCTTTTATTTTCATATATGAATCAAAAGAAAATCCTTCTATCTCATACTCTAGTTGCCTTGTATAAAAATCTACATAACACACCCATCCAGTGCCGTATCATATCCTGTGCCTTGCCAACCCTGATAAGCAATGAGGCTGTGGGTTATTTTGTCCTGTCTTTTTGTTAGTGTAGTGTTATTTAAAGTAAGTACATGTTAAAGAAAATAGCATGAATAGGTAATTATAATAGACCCACCTCCTGTTTTCAGCCAGCAAAGGGCTCCCAGGTCACAAAACCACCACTGCTCGCTGAGCAAGTGTAGAGAGCCCGGGCAGTGAATTCACCTCACGCGCCAGGAAAATGTTTGCAAAAGGGAGGGAGGGGTCATGTCTAGATAGCAAGTGTGAAAAATCTGAATCAGAGGTGGTATGAAGAATGGGCACCTATATAAGGCAAAGCTCCAAATATCAGGTCTGTCCCTATAAAATCAGGCCCCCTTGTTACCCTGAAGGGGTTCTGTCTCCAATAGGGTTGCCAGGTGTCTGGTTTTGAACCGGACACTCCAGTATTTGAGCTTTCTGTCCGGGAAAAAATTGAGAAAATACAGGTAATTTTTATTATTATAATGAGTATCAGTATGTAACTGCGTTCTGCCTGGCTGGTAGACACACTCATACTGCGTGAGCGTGTCTACCAGTGAGGCAGTACGCAACTACACAGTAGAGAGGAGGGAGGCAGGGCCGAGGCGAGATGGAATCCCCAGGACCGGACTTGTCTGTGCGCCTGCTGGGACTATGTGCGGGATGGGCAGCACCTCGAGATCTGCGTGTGCCTGGGCCAGCCCTGCTGCCCGCAGGCTGGTTTCCCCCCCGTTCAGCCCTGCTCCCCTCCCAGCCAGTCCCTTCCCCCATCTGAGATCAAGTGTGTCCTGTATTTTTTTGAAGCCATTTGGTAACCCTAGTCTCCAATACCATAGGGAAGTCAAGGGAACAGGGGTCTGACTAATTAGGTCTTTGCCCAAAATCCAGTGCAGTAAATATGACTGATTCCAATGGAACGTGAATCAAGCTTTAAATATGCAGCTACTCAGACTAGCAGGTCAGCTCCCTCACTAGTAGAGAAGAGGAGCAGTAGCTATGGAATGCTTCTTCTAACTCTCCCCTATTCTCCATGCTGATAGAGCCAGAGCAAACAAGCTTGCCTGAGGAGGGATGGAAGACTTCCCCTATGGTAAATTGAATCACTGCATGTTTCTGTCTGTCTCTGATATTTACAGGGTGCCAGTCGCTGGCTGTAGCATCTAGATTCCGGATCTGGGTAAATGTAGATCTCTCCCTATAATCATTTGTGAAAATACTAAACTTTCATATCCCCCAACGTATTCTGTTCCAAACAAAATGGGGGAAAAGATTAAATGTTGTCCATGTTATTAAAATGTAGACAAATATTGAAAATCCAGGAATATTTGGGAAGAGGAGAACTGGTAAGTGCTGAGGGGGAGGATAAACGTTAAACACAAACATCTGCTGTTTGAAACTACCACCAGATTGACAAACCAGGGATCTTAAATTACTTGTCATTTTTAAAGGAAAATTATTTTTAAATGTTTCAGGATCATCTCAGCTTGCATCAGAAACTGTGGGAATGCGTCAGTTAGAATCATAGTGAAAGTAATTCTTTAAACCATGCCATATGGGAAGGAGCAACTGGAGGTTCTCATACATGGGTCACCAGTGGTCTGGACATTACACATGGACTATACCTGCTCATTCCACAATATGGTAACCACCTGAGATTTGCAATTTCTTTATCAAGCACTAGCAAAGTTACTTGCCATTGCTCAGGTCATAAAGGAGGGGCTCAGTGCAGGGGGCTGGCCCCGGCCTGCAGCACCCACCCCAGGCTTCAGCTGATGCAGGGCAGGCCAGCCTCCAGGGGCTGGCCCTGGCATCTGTCTGTCCCATCCACTCTGCAGCCTACCTGAGGTGGGGAGGGGTGTGAAGGTCCAAGGGTTGGCCCTGACCTGCAGCTGCCCCCTCCAACTCTGCAGCTGGTCCAGGGTGGGCGAGGCTCTGGGAGCTGTCCCAGACCTGCAGCCTCCCCTCTCCCCAGCCCTGAAGCTTGTCGAGGGTTTGAGGGTCTGTGGGCCATCCCCAGTCTCCAGTTGCTCCCCCTTCCTGCACTTGGTGCGGGGGGGGGGAGGAGGGGAATGCTTCTAGTGGCAGCTCCCCATGTTCTGCAGGCTGTCCGCAGGGGGGACCAGGCTGCAGGGACTGATTTTGGCCTCCAGAGTTGCCCCTTCCCCCAGTGGCATACAGGCCTGCAGCCTGTCCGAGGTCAGGCCATGGTTCCCAGGCCCAGTATCACCTTGGCCCCAGCCTCTCTGGTGGGTGGATTTTCTGGAGGGGGTAGGGTGGCTTGGGAGCTGGGGGCTGGAGGTCAGGGGGCTCCCTCTGGCACTATTGCGTAGCTTATTTCAAGGTAAGGTGCTGTGTAGCCGCACCTCAACAGCCTACATCAGACTGGAAAGAAAGCCTACCAACAGGAGGTTAAGATGAGATGCACGAGTAGAAGGAAGAAAAGGAGCATTGCTAAGGGAGGGTGAACAAATTTCTGACAGTGAGGAAAAGGTAGTATGCACATTTCTCAGACAATAAGTAGTGATGAATCCAGTCATTGTCCACACACCACTCCTGCTACTCAAACTGAATGTACAGGCCTGGCCTTAGGGCAAGGAGAGCAAGGCGGGTTGCTTTGGGCCCCGCGCTTTCAGGGCCCCTCGCTGCCTGGTGCCCACCCACCCCTGCCCGCCCGGCTGCTCACTCGCTGCCCTGACTGGGAGCTGCCCAGCCATGCGGTGCGGCCAACCACAACATGCCACCTTGGGCCACGCAAACTCTTTAGCCAGGCCTGTGAATGTTGATGTCCTGCACAAATGCATTTTTCTTTCCCTTGATTGCCTGACTTCCACTGGTGAGCATAACGTGTACACCATTCCTTTTTCTGTCTTTGGCCCTCTTTGTAACACACACGTCTGACAAAAATGAAAACTCGTAACATCTCATTGAGTAGGGTACAGAAGAGGTAATTGTGTTAGGGTTGGAAAGGCTGAAAATCAAAGGGCAATCTCTTTCATTGGACTGTATGTTTTTGAGAATCACTTCCTTTATCAAACCATGGGGGAGAACA